AACGTTCAGGCTTCCATGCATCTGGTAGAGGATCCAAGAATGAGAAAAACACAAAAAACGCCACCAGGATGATGGCATATACATATATATACACACATATTTACAATCCTTCAATCCTTAGCACTCCTGAATGGAATTTTTCAAATTAAATATTTGGTTTATAGTTTAGATAGTTGTAGTCAACAGCTAGATAACTATAGATAGCTAGTTAGTATCAAATACTATAAATTTAGGTAAATTACAATTTAGGGGTAAAAAAATAAAATAAAATAAAAACATTTAAGAGGAATTTGCACTATTGTGATTTAAATTGGTAAGTTGGTGGCAAGTTAGACACCTGTATACTGCCTTAGTAGTTTCAGTACTTTGCAGACACTTTGACTTTAGTATATAGTAAAGCCATTTCTAGAATATGGAAGACTCTGCTCCTTGGAGATAATTAGACTTCTGGACCTATTCTAAGGCCTCAGATTAATATTCTTGGATAAGCCTATAATACACAAGTTCTGAGCAGTATGCTCACTCCTGTTATCCACATCTCCAATAATAAACACTAGGTGGTCAGTATACTTCCTCAAGCTCTCGTCACCTGCTATAACTCATCTTACCTGAGCAGTACGCTCACACCAGTTTCCCACACCTTTTTTAACCTAATAAGTAGCATGCTTACTCCTCCTCAACACTTTTCCTATCATCTATCAGAATCTTTCATGGTAGACACTGAATTCCCAGACGCCAACTTAAAACGCATTATCTTATCATATCCAAGACGGTAAAAATAACCAAAGTACAATTATATTTACAACATGTTATTTCCATTAAAGTATGCACAATTTTATATTGCAAGTATGAATAAAGGCCTAATTGAATCAATACATTAACACCATTTTATACCATCCTGATATATTAAGCTATTGGGCTGTCATTATCTAATTTAAAATGTTACCTGACATTTTCCTTTGCTTCTTCATGGACAAGTTCTGGTTTCCTTCCAGGGCTGGGAATTCCACATTGCCATACATGTTTATATTAGCACAATGCGATGTATATATTAAATGCTGTGCGTTCTATTGCTATGCTCAGAATGGTTGCACTATAGAATATACAGCAAACTCACTTATGCTATTGGGCTAGGGAAGATGTAAGTGGTGAACATTGTACTCTGTGGGTATATGTTGGATATATTTTAGACTGACACATGGCAATGGACAGCAAGTAGATAAGGAATATAAAGGCATACAGACATTATCACACAGGAAACACAAGGAAAGAAGAGCATTCTTGGGTATTTTAGAACATTTAAAAATATACATAACACATACTTACATCTGATACATGCACTCATAATTATTTACATCATACCACGATATTATTATATCTTAATAATAATAATAGTTGATAATGTAGAAAACATGTTATAGAATTATAGCACATGTTATAGCACTGTTATTACTATGTAATAATAGAGATTTGCTTCTTATTCAATAACTTTACTCAAAGATGCATAAGCCTATGATTTTCAAATGTTAAAATGTGACAGCCAAGTCTTAAGAGAAGTGGCTGTCAGAGCGCTCTGATTGAGCTTACTAGCCAAACAATAAGTGCTCTTGGTCATAATGAAAAATGTGGGTAATTTTAAAGCCCTATAAAATGACTTTCCCTGTTATTAAAGCTCATTCTGCAGTGAGCCATCTATTAGTGAAAAAATATTTTTTTTATTGCGGTCTTTTATTTTTTCTGATGTGTTTTTGTGTTGCGATTGGGCATTTTTTACATTTTGAAGTGATAGAACCAGTAATCATAGATTTTGAATTGGCTTTTTTGGGGGCTGAAGAACAGAAGATTTAGAAAGCTGCCACAAATTAACCCTTGTGATGATGAGGGGGTATTTCACAAATCTCAGATTACAGTGCTTTAAATTGGTTGAGACACATAAATCACTGATTTTTTTTTTGTACTCATCCAAACAAATGTTACAGATTCGGTAGGACTGACTGAATTATGTCAGCATCTGACTTTAGTTAATATGAGAATTGCCAAAATGGTTGGAATTTGGTCATTGTCCATTCGGACAAAATCCAGTGTTAAGTGAATAACCCCAATAAGTTTGCCTCTTTATAAATCAATGACAAGACCCCATTCTAATACAAAATATCTTTCAATATCTAACACAAAATATCTCTCCTGTCTGCAGAATTCATAATTTGCAAATTAACAAACCATTGATAATTATGAAGTGTGTGACAGAGCTCCTGTTCTCTGACCAAGTTCCTAGACCAAGTTTGACCCTGGAGCGCATCAACCCCAGTCACCGAGGTTTGACTGTGGTCTCTCAGGAGCTTTCCACCAGACCAGGCTGCAGCTCTCCTTCCCCCTTTGTCTATTCCTCTGCAGCCCTTCTTCCAGGCAGGTATTGTGCCCACTGACTATTCCTCTGCAAAGAAGCCAACATACTTAGCTCAATTTTTACTCGGGACTAGCACATACATTCATTACATTTAAATTATTGTGACAACCTCAATAAAATACAGACAACCAAATCATATCAGATAACATACACCAACATATAATAACACAATGACATATGTCTACAGAAAATATCTCTCCTTCCTGCATTAGCAATATGCAAATTAACAAGCCTTGCTAGTTGGTAACAAGCATTAGCAGGACATGAGAGCACACAAAACAATTTGATGTATACAAACACATTGTAAACACCCTGCACCTATAATGGGCACAGAGTGACTTAGACATAGGAATAATTTAGGAACCTTTGTAAAGTGTCCTTCTGCTCCCAGTGATGGTGACTACTTTACAACTAACATATTGTGTTATACAGGCTATACAGGCTCCACAGCCAAATCCACCTGGTTGGTTGAAAGCAACAGCTCGACTGGAGAGCACACAACACATTTAACAACAATTACATTATACCCACTGCACCTATAATGGTTACAGGGTGACAAAAAGATAAGAACAATTCAGGAACCTATGTAAAGTATCCATCTTTTGCTCCCAGTGATGGTGACTACTGTCACATATTTAAAAGCTGAATTTGAATTGGACTTGAATCTTATTTGAACCTAAATTATTTTCATCCTAGATTATTGTTTAAATATATGGGTTCCTTGAGTGTTCTTTTAAACCTTGTTGTTATATTAACTAGGCTACATATTCACTTTATCTTTAAAAACATCTGTGGCATTTCTTTATATAGAAATTCAGGAAGGATGTAAAAAAAAACCTGTAAATAATGTTTATGCTTGGGGAATGGGAAGAAAGAAATAGAGGAGAGCACAAGTAGTCAGTAACAAAGAGGCTGGCACAGCAGACATTAAAAGATTTTTAGAAAGCATACAATTATGGTCAGAGAGCTTAATTGCAGAAGGAAATGCAGACATATAATTATGGGAAGAGCTCAACTGAAAATGGGTAGTAAGTAGTGTGGTATAGAAAGTACTGGGTGCTCTTTAAAGGGACACTATAGTCACCTGAACAACTTTAGCTTAATGAAGCAGTTTTGGTGTATAGATCATTCCCCTGCAATTTCACTGCTCAATCCTCTGCCATTTAGGAGTTAAATCCCTTTGTTTATGAACCCTGGTCACACCTCCCTGCATGTGACTTGCACAGCCTTCCATAAACACTTCCTGTAAAGAGAGCCCTATTTAGGCTTTCTTTATAGCAAGTTCTGTTTAATTAAGATTTTCTTATCCCCTGATATGTTAATAGCTTGCTAGACCCTGCAAGAGCCTCCTGTATGTGATTAAAGTTCAATTTAGAGATTGGAATACAATTATTTAAGGTAAATTACA